AAACAAACGCTCCTCCACCAACGCGCTGCTTCCCGTCACCGCTATGTCTGCGCCGCAAACCCTAAACCCTAAACCCTAAACCCTAAACCCTAAACCCTAAACCCTAAACCCTAAACGCTGAGCCCTGAAGTCTAGAGCTTGCCGCCTCTGCGCAGGGACGGAGGCGGGAGGGAGCGGAAAGGGGAGACGTGTTATGCAGCTTGATTCGTTGCCTAGGGTTTAGGGTTTAGGGTTTAGGGTTTAGGGTTTAGGGTTTAGGGTTTAGGGTTTGGGTCCCGCTTCCAGGCTGCAACAGAATCCCTAGGGTTTCAAATCCACACTACGTCGCTCGTGTTCAGAGCCTACGTCCGAGTCCAGAGTCTAGGGCTTAGGGCTTAGGGTTTAGGGTTTAGGGTTTAGGGTTTAGGGTTTAGGGTTTACCTTTGGTGAGGACTTGCTGGCGTCCCACGTTGATTTGCAAAAACACTGGAGCCCCTTTTTGCAAACGATCGAGCTCGTGGACTTCGACAATTAAATTGAACTTGCGGTGGTCTTGGCAGCCCAGAAAGTAGCTCACCGCCCCTGCGCAAACCCTAAACCCTAAACCCTAAACCCTAAACCCTAAACCCTAAATCCTAGCGCCTGCCCCGCCTGCCCCGCGCCGCCCCGCGCGCCCGCGGCCCCAGAAACAGCCCCCACGCCCTGCCTGCTCCGCCGGGCCCACGTCTGCGGTTTAGGGTTTAGGGTTTAGGGTTTAGGGTTTAGGGTTTAGGGTTTAGGGTTACCGATGCAGCCGCATTCCGTGGGGTGGGGGCAAACGCAACACTCTTTCAAACTTCCAAAACAACTTCCCGAAAGGTTTGAAAAGAGAGAAGAGAAAGCCCCAGAAAAGGCGCTGGCCCCCAGGCCAGCCCCGCGGGCTGCAAGGTTCAGCAGCAGATTCGCCATTCCAAACCCTAAACCCTAAACCCTAAACCCTAAACCCTAAACCCTAAACCCTCGGAGAAACGAGGAGGCGCTGCTGCGCCGCCGCGGGGCACTGCCGCGGCCGCGCGGCACCGGAAGAGGAACAGAGCAAAGAAAAAAGCGCCGCGGCGCTGAGGCCCTAGGGTTTAGGGTTTAGGGTTTAGGGTTTAGGGTTTAGGGTTTGGTCAGGAGGGGAAAATAAGGAGACAGGGGACGCAGGAGGTCCAGGGGAGGCTAGACAAAGGCCGCAAGGCTTGGGAGCAGCTGCAGCAGCAAAAAGGAGAAAATAAAAGTGTGCTTAGTCTTGAAACCCCCGCCCCTTGCCCTAAACCCTAAACCCTAAACCCTAAACCCTCGACTTGGGGGTCCCGCGCGGCGCCGGCCCCAGACCCTTTTATTGCCTTTCTTCCGGCGCTTTTGGTCTTTGCAAAAACACGAAAAGTCAGTTGGGGGTCTGCGGAGGTTCAGGAGGTCTGCGTCGGGGTGGCCGCGGGCGGTCAAGGGTTTAGGGTTTAGGGTTTAGGGTTTAGGGTTTAGGGCCCGGATTTTCGCGGAAAAGCCCGCCGGGAACACGCAAAGACGCAATTAATGGAAAAGATACTGAGGAGGAGTGAAATGGAGAAAATTAAAAATGAAAAGAAGTCACATGCAGCAGCGGTCTGGTCAGTGAGCTGAGCTGTCGATACACCCCGAGCGGCTGCGGCCCGCGCCGCCGCCAAACTGCTTTCTTTTGCTCCTTTTTGATTAATTCAAAGACCAAAAAGCATTATTTTGAGTTTATTTTCCATTTAATTGTTCAATTTAAACTCAAAAAGAGCCGAAAGCCGCGCCGGAGCGCCGCGCGCAGCAGCAGCGCCGCCGCCGCAGACTTGAGGTGTACGTACACCGCAAATGCCGCGGCCCGACTCCCAGCAGCGACTCGCAGTGTACATACACTCGAAAAGAAAATAAATAATTTTAAAACAATTCCATTTGTCTTTGTCTGCTGCCGTTTTGAGACGGAGTCCCCGCTAGAGACACCCCGGAGGTCTCCTGCTGCTGTCTCCTCAGCAGCAGCAGCAGCAGCAGCAGCGGCAGCAGCAGCAGCAGCAGCTGCTGCTGCTGCTTTTGCCCGCCCCCTAGCACGTGGGCTCGCCACTCAGGCTTTAACTAAACACTAAACCCTAAACCCTAAACCCTAAACCCTCGACTAACGCAGCACTTCGCGAGGGACGCTGTCGATCCGAGCAGCTCAGGCCCCAAATGCCAGCGCTAAACCCTAAACCCTAAACCCTCGGCCCTAAACCCTAAACCCTAAACCCTAAACAGCTTACGTCTAGCCCGTAAACAACCGCCGAAGCAAGGATCAGACGCGGGCTGAGCCCGTGTTTAGGGTTTAGGGTTTAGGGTTTAGGGTTTAGGGTTTTGCGCAAGCACAGAAAACACTGGGGCGCCATCTCCCCCCGAGATAACATAACTTTCTGCCTTCTCTTCTAACCCTAAACCCTAAACCCTAAACCCTAAACCCTAGGCTTCTTCTTAAGCCTACTTCTCTTTTCAGCTACTCCCACTATATAAAAGGGTTCTGCTGCTGGGGGCCCTCAGAGGCCCCCAGAACCCCGGGGGGCCCCGGGAGGCCCCCAGGGGCCCCCGGGGGGCCCCCCAGGGGGCCCCCGGGGGGCCCCTGGGGGGCCCCCGGGGGGCCCCCGGGGGGCCCCCGGGGGCCCCCCGTTGTCTCTTGGTCCGAATCGTCTAGAGGTTAGGACAACACGTTGTGGCCGTGTAAACCCAGGTTCGATTCCTGGTTCGGACATTGGTAAACCCTAATTTAGGGTTTAGTGTTTTGGGTATTTAGCCTTCAACTGGGCTTATTCACGCTGCAGAAGGGGGTTTAGTGCAAACCCTAATTAGAGCTTATTGAGATTCTATATGTTCATCCATATGCTGAATTCGGGCTGAAGCAAACCCTAAATTAGGGTTTATTCAAACTCTAGGATTTCTTCAACAGCTCGGGTGTTACAAACACTGAATTAGGGTTTAGAAATGAGACTGGCGCACCTTTTTCTCCCTCAAGTCTAGGCTTTAGGTTTTCAAGAGTTAGGGTTTAGTGTTTAGGGTTTGGGCTCTAGGGTTTAAAGTTTACAGTACCCTAACTCTAAACACTAAACACTAAACCCTAAACCCTAAACCCTAAACCTTAAACCTTAAACCCTAATTAGCTGCTCCGCGCGATGTAAGGCATTTTGTTGCTGTCTCCCAGTGCCTATTTACGAGCGGCCGCTGCGGGTTTAGGGTTTAGGGTTTAGGATTAGGGTTTGGGGTTTAGGGTTTAGAATTAGGGTTTGGGCTTTAGGGTTTAGAATTAGGGTTTGGAGTTAAGGGTTTAGGGTTTCGGCCCGGGCTCCAGTGGGGTGTACGTACACCAGAGCCAACACTAAACAACATTTTCAGGAAATGTTTGGAGACAAATAAAACACTTTAATTCATTTAAGTCCACTGGGGCCCCGGCAGCAAAGTAGTTTGCTGCAGCGGGGGCCCCCTGGGGCCCCCAAGGGGCCCCTAGTAGCTGCAGCTAACTGTGGCTAGCTGTGGCTAGCTGCGGGGGCCAGCGTGGGCTAGCTGTGGCTAGCTGCAGCACGCTGGGGCTCTTCGTTAATTGCTGCTGCTGTTGCTGCTGCTGCTGCTGCTGCTGCTGTGCTGCAGCTGGTGCAGCTGCAGCGGCCAGCTGCACTTGGCAGCAGCTAGCCACAGCTAGCTGCAGCTGCACCGCATAGGTAGCCACGGCTCACCGCAGCTAGCCACAGCCCGCCACTTGCGGCCACGCCCACCCATGGCTAGCTGTGGCTAGCTAGGCTAGCTGTGGCTAGCTAGGCCGATTCTTCATAGCTAAGCTAGCTGCAGCTAGCTGCAGCTAGCTATGGCTAGCCATGGCTAGCTAACGCTAGCGAGGCTAGCTGTGGGTAGCTAGCTTAGCTATGGCTAGCTAGGCTAGCTTGCCTAGCTATCACGAGCGCCCTCCAAGACTATATCAGCTAGCCATGGCTAGAGCTAGGCTAGGCGTAGCTAGCTAGGCTAGCTATGGTAGTAATAGCTAGCTGAGGCTATTTGTAGCTAGCTACGGGTAGGTATGGCTAGCTGTGGCTAGCTATGGCTAGCTATAGCTAGCTGGGCTGTGGCTAGCCAGGGTGGGTGTGGGGCGCTACGGATAATTCAAAGACCTACCCAATTCTGAGTTCTAAACCCTAAACCCTAAAGCCTAGACCCTAAGCCCTAAACCCTAAACCCTAAACCCTAAACCCTAACCAGTAAACCCTAACCCTGCTCTTTTGATTACACTCAGCTGGGCCCCGCAGTGGCCTAGTCTGTTGCTGCTTTTGCGGGGAGTTCTTTGTGTTTTAAAAAGAAAGAAACCCTAAACCCTAGAAAGAAACCCCAGGCCAGCAAACCCTAATTTAGAAAACCCTAAACCCTAAAACCCCCCGCCAGACGCTGGGGAGCCGCAGGTGACCCTGCGGGGCTGGGAAAGCAGCCAAAT